GGGCCGCCCGCTGCCCCGTCCAGCGCTTCCCTTTCTCTGCCTCCGCTCCCCTCCCCCGCGCTGTCCTTAAAGAAATCCTTGGAAAGTGGCGAGGGAAGAGGCGGGGGGCGGGGAGTTCCCTCGTGGAAGGGTTTTGCTCCCGGCCGCGGCGTCAGCCTCTTCCCGCGGAAAGACATCGCCCGAGAGAGCCGGTGGGGTGAAGGTGTGAACGGGAGGCGAGTCCCTCTCCTCCCTCCCCCGCCCGGCTCACGGGCTTTAAGGAGAAGGCTCCTCGGGGAAGAAAGCAGCCCGCGAGAGCTGGGCCCTGGAGGGGGGCGCCTTTCTTTGCCGGGATCCGTTTCCCAAGTCGTGACTCAAGGCGGGGGATAAAGGGCCCCAGACTGGGAGGCGGGGGAAGGCTGCCGATGGAGGCGTCGGGGTTTAGCCCCAGATTTCAGGTGCACGTGGGGCCAGGTGGAGGTAGAAATGCCCCGATCTTTGTGGGGGGACCATTTTCTACGCTAGGGTGCGGGAGCTGCTTTACTACCAGCATTGGACTAAGTCATGCCCGGCAATAGAGCGGGAGGAGGAACAGGGAAAAGGCCGGGCCCTGGAAAGGGCGGGCGCGCGCGCGGATGATTCAGGGGGAGTTTAGCGTAGGAATCCCTTAGTCTGCTTCGCGCTCTTGGAGAGGGATTTGCGAATGCAGCGTAGGAGGCTTTTGTGAATCCGTTCCTCGCCAGTTGCTCCAGGTTTTTTCGCCTCCAAGATGGCGCATTGCCGCTGATTTTTTTTTTAACCCCTCCTTTTCTCACTCCTCTCCCAAGATATTAATCACCTCGGTTCCTGCACTGCAGTCTTCGTTTTCTGGCCCCTTCCTACACTCTCTCTACCCCATCCTGGCTTTCGGACTTATTCTAAAGTGCCCTGGCCCATCGAAGTAGAGCTGATAAAGAAGAGGGATGATCCCTCTAAGAAGGTTCCATATTGTGTGTTGACCAGCCGGTGTTTGCAGGCTGAAGTACTGCAATTAATTTTTGACATTATATAAGTGTTTGTATACATAATCTTCGTCTTTTCTTGCCAATGCATTTGATGTGCAATTTGGTATTGCATTACAGTCCTGATAATGGCTGACTTTTCTTCTCCAGAATGCCATTTTGGCTAGCTGCTTGCCTGTCTTTGCAGGCATATTCTGAATTGAAAAACAGACTGTACAATATTGAAAGACCTTTTCCCCCCTTTTGTTAATAATCTGTTCTTAGAATACCGAGAGTTCTGCTCTAGGTACCAGTAATGTTAGGATGAGGCTTAAACGTTGCCTTATCTGCAGCAGGTATAGGATGGGTTAAAAAAGCAGTGCCCTTGGTGGCTGCTGAGCTAGTCTTTCTCTAGTGTTGAGATGGTAATCATGATAGGTAGACTCCTGGCCTGCACTTGGGAATGACTAGGGCCTGCTATGACTCTGCAGTTCCATTGGAAGGATACGCCTTCCAGTGGAAAAACTCTTCCAGTGGAAAAACGTGTGGGGAACACATTTTCTCCCTGCGCTGCCTCTTCCTATTGTTATTCCGTGTACTGTTTGAACAAAACACTGGATTTGGCTTAGAGAAAAAAAGGCTGATTTGTAAGCAGCCTGCTGCTTCTATTTCCAGCTGTTAAAAAAGGCTGTATTTGTTGCTTCATTTTCCTCCTGCTTGTATAGCTTTGTATAACTATCCAGTTCCTGAGAGTTCTGAAAGCCTATCCATTATTGTCTGTGAACAATCTCAGTAGCCTTGGAGTTGCTGAAATACATTATGTTTGGGAAAGAACAGAAATTCACAGTACCTTACATTTGAGAAACCTGGTTTAAGAATCCCTAAAGCTCCCAAAAAACTCTAGATCTAAATAATTAAGGATATTCTGCATTTTGTCCCTGTTCAGTATTTAATATATACTATTTATGCCTTAAAGGTCTAATTACATTATACATAAGAGAGAAGGCTTGTGGTCAGCATAAAGCTGTTAATGGTTTAGTTCACCTTCTGTGTCTCTGATATATGCTTAGTCTAAAGGTAGCGCCTGTTCATATATACTTGCCTTGATTTTTTTTTAAAAAAATAGTCCCTAACCTGAATATTATTCTGTTAGCACTCAGAATTACTTTATTCAAGTTACACAGTAGACTTCCAAGCAAAAATGTATGACTTGAACCCCAAGAGTTTGTTATCTCCCATGAAAGGCTTGGATGCAACCTTAGAGCCCCTCCAAAAGTTGGCATCAACTTGTGATTTTTAAAGTGACTAAAGAGGAGAATTATTGAAAACACATCATACATTAAGTAAATTTAATTTAAAATTATTTAAAATTATGTTTCATTTATTTAAATTTTTGTTCTGGGCTCACTTACTTTTCAGAGTGCACCTCTTGGCGTGCAACTCAAAATCAAAGTGTGCTTTCTGCCTAGAAAAGACTGTGTACCCTATAGTTAAAAGAAAACCCCTTGAATTCAGATTTCCCACTTTATTTTAGATTGCTGGGGCAGGTGCTATTAGATCATATGCAATCCCTGCATAGGTTCTTCAGTGTACAGCATGAAAGATTCAACTAAAATTCTGGATTTCTCTCTTTGACAGCCTATAGAAATAGATATGATTGTAGGAAAAGACCGCGAGGGTTTTTTTACCAACGGTCTGACTCTTGGTGCAAAGAAGTGTTCTGTGATCAGAGATAGCCTGTATGTGGATGGTGACTGTACAATGGACATCAGGACAAAGAGCCAAGGTGGCGAACCAACATATAATGTTGCTGTAGGCAGAGCTGGACGAGGTAAGCTTTCACTTCCAGTACTGTTTGATTGGCTGTCTTGTTAAATAGTAGAAAATACACAGGCAATAAATAACTCCAGTTTATGTCCAATAAAATTTGTTCATAAAACTGTTTTGTCCACACTGTTGTGCAAGGTTCACACTATTAAGGCTAGATGTCCAGAATGTAAATGGGTTGGCTAAATTAATTACTTTCAAAAACACAACCTAAATTTTTAATTTTGGGGTATAAGCATGTGGCATTGGAGGGCAAGGGCATCCTGAACCATCTAACTACTCATTTAAATAGTTCACAGACTTTTACTAAGCTCACATGTATTCTATTAAATCATTTTCTGAATTTGGAGTAGGTATTACTTTTGGCTTCAGAGTTCAAAAAGCCAGTCCAAACACTTCTGTTGATTATATTTCTAACATAAATAAATGTATACTGAAAGATATGTTTACTGTTTATTCACTACATTTATATCCTGACATCTCTGGAAGTTCAAGATTCAGAGGATGGGTGTCCTACTTTTCCCCCCCAATAACAGTCCTCTAGGGTAGGATACGCTGAGAGAGCAACTGGCTAATTGTCACTCACTCTCAGATGTGGACTTGAATATGGTTCACTCAGATACAAGTCCAGCATCTAACCAACTTTAAGACTTTATGTATACACTTTGCAGAAGAAGTAAAGTAATTTCTACATGGACACTCATTTGCAGTGAGAACATAGGGTTATCTTGAGAACAGAATTACTATATATTTTAGTGACATCTGCTGGCATACAGGAGAACATACATACAAATATATTTCTAAATATTTCAGAACTATGTAATTCTAAGTTACAGTGGTACCTCGGGATACGAACTTAATGCGTTCTGTGACTCTGGGCGTATCCCGAGTTGGTCGTAACCCGACGCAAATTTCCCC